TTTGATTATTTAAAAAAATAAATGAAAAGCAACTTTTTAGTTAAAAAATTTTAAACATTATAAAAAAAATGTCTTACAATTTAAGGGATAGGTCTATAATATAGTAATAATATTCTATAAATTTTCAAAAGAAGATCTAGTTATTCAAACTTATTGAATTATAAAAATTTATTACTTTTATAATTAATTAATCAATTTTCAATTAATATTATACTTAAATAGTTGAAAAATCAATTTCTAATTAGTTAAATTGCATAAATATAAAATTTTTGATTTTTTTAATAATTACAAACTAAAAATAGTTTGAAACAAAAAAGGTTGTACAAGAAAAAACTTTTGATCTAACTTTAGTAAAAACCTATCAAAAACTCAAACTGATAATAATAAACTTTATTCTACAATCCAAAAAGATATTAATTCTAAGCTAATTTATTTCAATTTGAAGTTTATAAATTATAATATTTTATAAGAACTTAAAATATGAATCAAAAAACAAGATTATTAACTATAAGTAATAAAAATTTAGATAAAAATTACTAAGCCAAGTATATCTAGTAAGAAATATATAAGATTAAATATTTTTTTTTCAATTGTATTTTATTAATTGAAAATTTATTCTTATCAGATCTGAATAAAAAACTAAATTATTAAAAGATATTAATCCTTTAATTTAATAAATAATTTTAAAATTTTGTCAAATTAAAATTTTTATAGAATATATTTACTTATAGACAGGTCAATATTTATAGCAACATATCTCAATGCATCATTATTGTTGTAAATTTTATATCTGAAATTCTTTGTAAAAATTGAATCAACAATTAATAGAAATCACAATTTGAGAAGTGTTTCACAAAAAAAAATTAAAATAAAAAAATTTTTTATATATTTAAAAAAAAGATAAAATAAAGTGACTATTTTCTTTAAAGTTTTGATTGAATATTTGAAGAAAAAAAAAAACAACTAAGTATTTACTGTAAGTAGTAATATTATTAAGAAAAGTAAATAGACTTTGTATTTAAATTTCTTTTATGTAGTACAGATTGTCGATCACACTAAAAAATTTATTACACGCTGTTTCTTATTCTTATCCTCGCGTTAGACTCGAAAAAAAAAAAAAATGCTACAAAGACGCCTTATCTTTTCTCTAAGAGCGAGTACGATACTCCACCGTTTATCGCCTTTAATCCGCAAGCCTGCAGGCGGCACACTTTCAAAGCTTGTTCCAACAATAATTATGGTACTTAAAATCTGATTTTGAATTTACACTATTTTTATTACCTTTATTTAATCAAATGTTACAAAGCCCCAAGACATTGTAAGGCGTAACTATTTTGAGGAAAGAGGCAGTGGTCGAGGCTTTGCTGGAAATCGTAGAGAGGACAATTTCCGCGGTAGATCGGGAAATATACGCCCTGGGGATTGGCAATGTAAAAGTTGTGGTGTAAATAACTTCGCCTACCGGACTGAGTGCTTCGAATGTGGTGAAAAAGTTCGCGACAGAGAAGTAGCTCCTGGGGATTGGATCTGTCCAAAGTGTGATTTCTATAATTTCCAAAGTCGATTGGCTTGTTTCAAATGTCATACACCAGCTCCCACCTTTGAGTCAACAGAACCAGTTGAAAAAACTTAAGGGTATTTTCATGTTAAGAGATTTTAATTGAGATCCATTTCTTTTTCTAATTTTTAATTTTTACAGATGCTTTAATCCTAGTAAATTAACGAAAATTTTCCTTATTGTGAATTTTTTTTTTAATAAACTCTACAAAATATCGTATTCTGATTTATGAATTAAACGGTCCATTAGATAATTTCCATTCATGTTTAAAAAAAATTTTATATGTATTTTTTATTATGATAATTGTAAAGTATTTTACAAACAAATTTATTGATAAAATCCTATCGACTTAAAAATTAAACTATATACAACTTAAATCATTTCTTAAATCATTTATGAAATTAATAAATTAGTATATTATAAATTATTATAAAGTTAAAAGTCTAAATACAGTATGTTACAAAAAAAATAATAATTACTATTTTATTTATAACTTAACAAATAATTAATAAAAATTTATAAACATTTAGTTGAATATTTTATAAACAACTTTATTTAATATTGTTTTAATTTTTCTAATAAAAATTTCTAATAAAAATTTTTTTATATTTAAACATTTTTAATATTTATGTATATAATATTTTTTAATAAATAAATATAAAATTACCTTTCTTTATTATTATACAATAGATTTTTATTTGGTCAATAAAAAAAAAAACAAAACTGTTGCAAGAAACAAAAAGCTGGATCTTATTTACAGTGGTGGCAATAAATAATGGCACTCATATAATTTGCTCTAATTCTCTTAAATTTTATTATAAAATTATAAAATTTTAAACTCAGGTAGCCAAATATACATACTTCGAAATGTGTCATTTTTT